TTGTTTATAATATTTCAAGTTCCTTCATGAATTTATGTCAAAAAGTAGTGCCATTTGCTTTTTTAAGGCTAGCGTTTTTACTTACTACAGTATCTAGCTCTGGCTTGGAATTCACAGAAAATCTCCTGTATAATAGGAACATACCTCTTCCGGAAACAACTAAACATGGAAAATTAGTATGTCCTTTAACTGCATCAATAGCTGACAAATACGACAAATCAATTAGCATATCAGATGGGAATATGTGCTTGTGATTGTGTAAGCACTCGGTCTCGTACAACATGTGAGCAGCATGCAGCAAAATGCAACACCAAAATAGGTGAGCGCTAGCCCCACACAGTCAAAATCGGCAGATCAGTGGAATGCCGAAGAAACATTCTTTCATTCTGACCGACTTAGAATGATCACCGAAAATAGGGCAGGGAAACGTCACTGGAGCCAATGTAAATCAGAAACACCGTAATAGAACTCATACTTAAGTTTTTTTTAAACAAAAGACCAGTTAATAGCATAGAACAGCTTAAATTAATCCAGGACTAGTATAAGTCTGAGAATATTATTCGGAATTTAGTATAAAAATAACAGTCTTAACAGGCAGATTAGCACGATGCATCAACTACAATTTAACAAAAGCCTTTTGTCAAGGCTCTGGTCGTGAAATTGAAATTATATAAATCAGATATTGCGTATAAGTACCAGTCATTTTCAAAGTCGCCTGACTTATGTACTTTCTCTGTGGTCTGCTAGCAACAGGCCAACCTATATTTTCAGACAAATGTGTCTAGAATTTAAGGCACGCCATTCTCCATCGTATTAAAAGACCAGACTAGTCAGTGAGCCCCAGTGTTCTGCAGGATCGGTGGTCACTACCTAAACCTGTCTTCATCGCCACACGCACGTTCAAACAATTGCTCATCGAATACGTTATGAACCGTGGGTAACACCAGCATTCTAGGAGTCCACTTACGTCTTAAAACGATCCCGCCTGAGTCGTACCTGAATCACGGTTGAGCTCCAGGCTCGCGTTTCTCAAATACACATTCCGACATGCACATCGTGTAGCCCCAGAACAAAAAGACCAATTTTACATTTCTGGAAGTCAGCTAAAAATGTCGCAGCCCGTACTTCAGATGTCATATTGCACTTGGTACATTCTTTCATTTCACAATGGTCAAACGGCCTGCCTAAGTCGGCCGCTGTTCTAACCTAAAATCACACTCTGTCAACTACAGGATTTTATTGGCCAGAAGTTTTGACCAGTAGCACATTGTATACAAACGTGACAGC